ATCGTCCTGCACCTCTTCCAAGCCATCAAAGCTGATTTTCTTGGACCCCATGCTTTTCCTATCCCCTTTCGCAAATCTCTAGTGTATATTCCATAGCTACCTACCCCCTTATTGATTGCTGATTCAAATCTTACCCATTTATCCTCCGCCATCCATTCCATCTCCATTAGTGCCTTCAACTGAAATGCGTCATAATAGGCTTGTAAGTATGGTAGTCCCCATCCTAAATCATCTTGAGGCATATATACCAATTTTTTTGATATTCTTGCTTTTTTTCTACCGAACACCCAGCTTTTAATCTTTTCATCCCATTTCCCTAACACTTTCTGGTCAAGTTCTATTGGGAGTACCTGAAATAGGTATAACATCTTTGGTAATAGAAACATTTTTGCTGCTCTAATTTTCCCCAAAATGCTCAGATGTTTGTTCTTCCATTCCTTCATTTTCTTTATTATCTTTGACCAGGTCTTACTGTAATTAATTTTATGTAACCTCTCTGTATTTTTGTCAAGATATACTCCTAGATACTTAATTTTGCTAATGTCTGATTTCATCCCTGTTAAAGCTAATATCTCTCTTTTAGTATCCCTATCTACACTGAGAAACATTATTTCAGATTTCTTAATATTAACACCAAGCCCTGAAATTAACTTGAAATCCTCTAGAATAACTAGCAATTCTCTTATTGCCTGCAATGGGTTAGTTAGTCTCAGTAAGATATCATCCGCAAAGAGGTTTAATTTAGGTTCTTCCTTAGCTATTTGAAATCCCTGAATTCTGCCACTATTTCGAATCCTATCTGCTAGAGGTTCCATTGCCAGTGCAAATAACATGGGGGATAATGGGCAGCCTTGTTTTACTCCTCTCTGAATTAAAATTTCTCTAGTATGCCCTCCATTTATCCTAATGGCTGCTTTGCCATCCCTATATATTTCCCTTATTGCATTTAGGTATGGTCAGTAAAATTAACTTAGTTGTGGATGCCAGCCATTTGCCTACATATAGGATTTCAGAATGTCGATTAATTTGAGAAATCAAAATTGTTCTTTTTTGTGTTTCAAGTCATCCCAGTATTAATTAATTAATGAAAAGTATTTGAAGGAATGGCAAAATATAGTAAATTGTTTTATGTGGTTAGGCAAACCCTCTGAAGGTTAATAGGAATATTTAAAGAAATTACAGAGGAGGTAATTTTGGTATTATAAACAAAATTAATATTACAAAATGTTTTGAGTCAATTGTTAAAATGGTTGGATAATCTGATAGTCCCATAGAAAATGTTTGTCTTCATGACAAAACATGGAATGATCTAATTTCTTTAACACACATTTGATAGTTATAGAACTTATAGAAAGTGTGGGGGGGGGAAGTGGCACCAGTATTGAAACTACTGTCATATTTTATGAATTATGATTAGCAACATAATAATAAAGTTATGTTTCATTTTATAACTTTTCAGTTCGATGGTACCTGGTCCCCCACAAAATGCAAAACAAAATAAATTAAGAAATATAAACAGTAAAGTGGTATCACTGCTTGACTGAGGCTTGTGCAGTTTGTTTTGTGCAATTGTTTGAAAAAATATAAATGTCCAAAGTGGATCTACACAGAAAGCATCAATAATGAATCAGATGATATAAGATAGTGATATCAGACCGATGAAAACAAATAGATTTATGATTAAAATAGTTGAAAAAATGGGAAGTC